TTGTTCCATTGCATAGAACATCACGTTGAGAGAAGGAGAGGCGAAGAATGGCGGGCACTCGGAATGGTGCCGGACGACGTGTATCAAAAATGCGCCCGTGACGGGCTCCTGCTCCCAATCGCCTTTGGCAAGTCAATCCCGGAGGAATTTGCACATTACCCCATCATTGGCGGTATCAAGGCCAAGGAGTGGAATGGGTTCCATGACTTTGTGTTGTGGGATGAGCTGTGCCGTAGCGAGTCAATTTCCAGTGTCTTTGTCGGGTTGGTGGGTTATTTTCATCCCCCCTACGCTTCCATGGGAAAACTATACCCTGCATGCATCTGTATACTTACTGACTCTATATGCCTTGTTCCTCTAGACTGTGGGAGCGCCACCTATCCGGCAATTCGCGTCGAAGTGGTTGCAGAAGAAGGTTTTGCCGGAGATCCTCAGCGGCCAGAAGAGGATCTGTCTTGCTGTTACAGAGCCTTCTTGCGGATCTGATGTTAGGAACCTAGCGACGACGGCGGAGAAATCTGCGTGCGGGAAGTATTATATTGTCAATGGAGAGAAGAAGATAAGTTTTCTGGAAAACAGTTCTCATTCACCAATTAATGTATAAATAAGCTGACGTTGCCTTCACTGGATCACCAACGGCATGTATTCAGACTATTTCATGGTAAGTTCTTATTCAAATTGGTAAAAAATACAGGCAAATGAAAGCAATGGAAAGAAATCCCAGCTTCCAACAATCCCAGGTCTGACTATTCTTGCTAGACGGCCGTCCGAACAGGTGGCCCTGGCGCGGATGGTATTTCCTTCCTCCTGATCCCGCGCACCGAAGGCATCCGGACGCGCAAAATCGAAATCGGCGCTGATGGCCTCAGCGCCACCACGTATATCATCTTCGAGGACGTCAGGGTCCCCGTGGAGTACCTCATCGGCTCCGAGGGCCAAGGATTCCGATACGTCATGAGCAACTTCAACCACGAACGTTTGTGGATTGCGTTCCAGGCCCTTCGCAATGCTCGCACCTGCTTGCAAGACGCAATGGCGTGGGCTATGAAGCGCGAGGCATTTGGCATGAAGCTAATCGACCAGCCGGTCGTGAGGTATAAATTCGGCTCGATGGCTAAGGAGGTCGAGGCGCTGCAGGCGTGGACGGAGCAGATCGTTTACGAGTTGGATCATATGAGTTATCAGGATGGAAATCGGCATTTGGGCGGTGTTACGGCGTTGTTGAAGGTGAAAGGCGGACAGATGAACAAGTTCGTTGCGGACAACTGTGTCCAGATTATGGGAGGGTATGGTGTTTCCCCATACGTTGCCACCATTATCGTCTCTCTTTTCCTTTCCTTTCCATTTTACAGTCAAAGGTTGTCTGGGCTTTTTTAACCCGTTTTGAAACCGCTAGGCTTGGCCTCACAAAGACAGGGCAGGGTTCTCGTATCGAGGCAATTTCGCGCGGCACCCACTCATTAATCGTCCCTGGTACGTTTAATCTTCGGTGGAATAACCGGTAGTGGTTCTCAATACTAACAATCTATGTTTTGTGTAGGTGGATCCGAAGACGTGCTCATTGACCTGGGAGTGCGAGAGGCACTCAAGCTCTCAGCTGCTAAGGTGAAGAAAGGCGCAAAGATGTAAATTTGGAAAAGAGAATGGTTCTTGGGGATTTAACACCAGGCCGTAGAGGCTGGTATAAAATAGAACTGGCAAATGCTGTCCGAGGAATGTTCTCAAGGAGCTCACACATACGCTTCCCAACTCATCATACCTTCCCCTTCGCTTCGGCATAGTATATTTTTATTGTTTCCGACATATTTGCTGGTTCATCCCAAACTGATATCTCAAGAATTTGCAGTCATTTCTTTTTGCATCCCCCCCCAATACAATCCTCTGCTTTCACTAAATGCATTTTTCGTGTGCTAGATTACCCAATTTGCTACTAACAGGAATCGGCCAGAAGCGTTTGTTTGAAAACCCATCAGTACCAAATTTCCCTTGATAAAATAATAATAAATATTGCTAGTAGTATTTATGTGAAGGACAAAACATACTATGATGTAATATGTTATATGGCTCATGGCGTCAAACGTAGTCATTTATACGGCAGACTACACTACCACGTATGTCATTAGTGTTGGGGGGATTGGATTGGGTGATTCGTACCCTCTATACCACCACGGCGCTGGTGGTGATTGAGCTCTTTTGCCCTAGTGGCCTAAATAATTAGAGCTGTGTGCTGACTCAGCTTCCAAAGTTCCAAACCTATCCAAGCATCATGATTAGTACTTCAGACCTCAAATTGTTGTGCTCTCGCTCCTTGCTATTTGGAATCATGTTTGCTTCAAATACACATTAACGGCCTCCACACGGGAAATATGCTTTTTTAGCGGTTTGTGGGGAAACTGTTCCTATCGCAACGGATCACAAGGGCATTGGATTCCGGCGCGCTGCTCTGGATGGGAGCAAACACCCCATTGATTCGCACAGAAATAGCCCAAAGTCAGACATACCTATAGAACATGATATTCAGATACTATACATTTCCCTGGCGATTGGGGGGATTGGTGCTTTTTGTTGCTGCTTCACTCTTTACCTCCCACGCTACCGGGGGTCCCTCAGTCAATGTCGCTCTACAGACCTCATTCAATGCTGCACCATATCTGGTAGAGCTTTTGTATGTTTCACTTCTCCGTGGGAGAGGCCCCTCTTGTCTTCTCAGAGATGGTGTCAGTGTTCTAAGCTAATTATGAGCCTAGAGAAACCGCTGCAGATGAGAATTCTACCAGCTATTTCCCCCTCCTGGATCGCATCTCTGAAGGAACATTTACGGAAATTACAACGGAAAAGGGCCTCTACGAACGATTTATACAACTATTGCAGGAAGATGGACACCTTACTCATCCAGAGTCTATTTCTTCCTTTAAATTTGCGTTATCATTACGGTCCACTGCGCCACGGATAGAAGCTCATTATCAATATTATAATACGTCGGTGGAGCCATCGCTGATGATCGCGCAAGATGCGGTTTGCACTGTATGGGCGCATTACGATGGCGACCAGTATTGTTCACCCAGTTTAGAATATGCGCAGCAGAGTGTGTCTTGGGATGGGTGCGTGAGTGATGCTCCCGTTTTATGGAGAATGGGGAGCTGATGTAGTTCGCGCATTGACAGACACGATCGAGCTTTGCCGTTTGACAGAGTGTTTGGAGATTCTTCCCTGCCTCCATTGATACTATATGCGGATGTGGAGTCGCCTCTCTTTGGTGGATTTCACCACCAACTTATGCAGCAGGCTAGGGATGGCCAGTTCTCGTACAGAGTTCGATATCGGCCGGCTAGCTCTGCAACATCGAGGCCGCTTTTCGTCAATGGATACGGGGTAGAGCTTGCGCTCAAACGGACTGATTATATCGTGATCGATGACCGGGATGCGGAGCAGAGGGTTCTGAAGGATACAGATACAACGAAGCCTGAATTAGCACCAGCTGAGGATCTGGAGAACGAGCAACCTGCTGACTTGAAACCATTATCTGCCTCCGAAGTTTCTACCCTTGGCGTGAATGCTGCCAGCTTCATTATGAGCAGCGATGACCCGTTCGCGACCCTGTTAAGGTTATCGCAGGACTTCCCGAGACATTCATCAGCGATTGCTGGCGCCAGCCGTACCTCAGAATTTACTCAAGAATTTGAACAAAATAAAGCCAACCATTTACAAACAGGTCGCAATGTTATATGGGTCAATGGCCTACAAATTGAGGCTCAAACCGTCGATACATTTTCACTTCTCGACCATCTCAGACGTGAGAGGAAGTTGATAAATGGCCTTCGGAAGTTTGGTCTATCTGCGCGACAGGCTGTGGACCTTCTGACCAACCCAACCATCTCCAAGAGCCTAGGAACTGACGATTCCATCAGATATGATTATAGAGATGAGCTTGAAGGTGGCGGTGTGATCGTTTGGCTGAACGACCTTGAAAAAGATCATCGGTACGAGGGGTGGCCGAGGGATCTTCACTCCGTGAGTAGCCTTGAAATATTCCCTTCTCCCATTCTCTTTCTATGAAATGGAGATACTGTCATGGATACAAGTCTAAGTTCATCATAAATAGCTATTCATAATGACGGCTCATGGCCAACTTCCCCCAGTTCGCCGTGATATCCACAACGTCGTCTTCCCAGTTGATTTGGCGTCGTCAGAGGATGTTAGCGTAGTTTCTCAGAGTCTTCTAAGGGCCATTAAAGCGAGGATACCGGTTAGATTTGGTATTGTGCCATTGGTCCACAATGAAAATGCTCAAGGGCAAGCCAAAATTGTCCATCACCTTCTGGATACTTATGGCCTTGGCGCTGTGATGAACTACTTACAAGCTGTAAGTCTCCATTCGATTTTGTGTATTGATTTTGCGAGTTAATATTTTCTCATAGTCATTGTCCGCAGACAAAGTTGGCTCTCCAGATCAAGCCAGTTTCACTGCTGCGTTGGAAAACCATGAGTTGCGGAAGGATCGCACGCCCCTTACTTTTGAAGATGTTTTGAGTTCGGACAATTACGACCCGATAATTTCCAACACCAAGTCCTACCTTAAGCGGTTGGCAGTTGAAGGAGATATACTACCATTCTTTGTGAACGGTGCTACTTTAATGCGTGAGGGAAACTTCCTTCAAAATATGATTGCAGCACTCTCTAAAGACTTGGAGCATCTTCAACGACGTGTTTACGAAGGCGATTTTGAAGAAGATATTTGGATTCCGTCTCATTTTCTCCAAGAAGCTCTGCAGAGCCGAAGCCCTTTACTCATCCCCGAGAATCCTAGTGAAATTCAGATCACTGACCTCAACGAAATATGTGCCAATCATCAGAATGTTTTTGACACCATTTTGCGGATCCCTGCGAGTGTCGAATCGGACGATCCGATGTTGGACTGGAATAGTATCATTTTGATAGCCGATCTCGACAGTGGTGCAGGGGCTGAGCTGCTTAGTTCCCTTTTAGAACTTCACAAAAAACATCCTGGAGTTGAAATTTTACTGCTCCATAATGGTGAGAGCTCATCGACTCCGGAAGCCCTGTCGACAAGACTCTATAGCATCCGGAATGGCCGTGACCTTGACCTGGCCGTTGTCACTGCAACCCTTGCTTCTAGAAATGATGACTCGGCCTCAGATTCCGCAGCTGCATCCGCTTATTGGAATACTGTTCAGTTTCTGGCGAAAGAAATTGGATTTGGAACTAGCGAAATTGGAATGGTGGTAAATAGCAGGATTCTTGGCCCTCTGCCGTCATCGACCATTTTGGACACTGAAGACTTAGAAAGCTTGCTTATGTACGAACACTCAAAGCGTATCGGAGTACTAGCAAGGGTGGCTTCTGAGATGGACTTGGATAGCAACATCCTTGATCCCCTGAGCCTTTCGAGGATGCAGGCCGTCCTCTCGCTGTCAGTGACCTCTGGCATATCAGAAAGTATATATAATTACGGCCCAAGTGCACGCACTCGTGTATTTGAAAAATGGAGTGGCATTCATACTGCCATATCAGTTTCAAACTCGGATGACCCCTCAATCAACATTGTTGCGACAATCGACCCAACAACAGAGGAAGCTCAACATTGGGTTCCTATTCTGAAAGTACTATCCGAACTAGTTGGTGTCAGTTTGAAACTATTTCTCAATCCCCGGGAGGAAATAAAAGAATTGCCAATTAAACGGTTTTATCGACATGTTCTCGACGTAGCCCCATCCTTCAACGAGGATGGCTCCCTGGCGAAACCGCAGGCTGTCTTCCATGGTATCCCTGGCGAGGCGCTACTGAATTTAGGAATGGACGTACCTCCGGCATGGCTTGTAGCTCCCAAGGAATCGATACACGACCTCGACAACCTCAAACTGAGCACACTTAGAGCAGGCACAAATGTTGATGCTATTTATGAGCTGGAACATATTCTCATAGAGGGTCACTCGCGGGATATCACTCAAGGAGGACCTCCAAGAGGAGTCCAACTGCTCCTAGGAACAGAGAAAAGCCCTCACTTCGCAGATACCATCATTATGGCCAATTTGGGCTATTTCCAATTTAAAGCTCAGCCGGGATGCTGGAAGATAACATTAAAACCGGGCCAGAGCGAACGCATCTTCCACATTGATAGCGTTGGTGGGCTCGGTTCTAAACCTACTCCCGGCGACGAGAGCAACGACGTAGCCCTTCTTTCCTTCCAAGGGAAGACCCTCTTCCCGCGCATCTCCCGCAAACCAGGTTATGAAAATGAAGATGTGCTCGATGAGGTCAATAAACCAGCCGCAGCCGCAAAGGTCTTCCTAGCAAAAGGCTTAAACTTTGCGTCCGGAATTTTACACCGCCTAGCCGGTCCCGCGCAAGGAAGACACGCGGACATAAACATTTTCTCTGTTGCCAGCGGTCACCTTTATGAACGCATGCTCAATATCATGATGGTCTCCGTTATGAAGCATACAAAACACAGCGTGAAATTCTGGTTCATCGAACAATTCCTCTCCCCATCGTTTAAATCTTTCCTCCCCCACCTCGCCGCTGAATACGGCTTCTCCTACGAAATGGTCACCTACAAATGGCCGCACTGGCTTCGCGCCCAGACGGAAAAGCAACGCATTATATGGGGCTACAAGATCCTCTTCCTGGACGTCCTCTTCCCGCTCTCGTTGGATAAAGTCATCTTCGTCGACGCGGACCAGATCGTCCGCACGGACATGTACGAGCTCGTCACGCTGGATCTGGAAGGAGCGCCGTACGGCTTCACGCCAATGTGCGACTCGCGGACGTCCATGGAAGGCTTCCGCTTCTGGAAGCAAGGGTACTGGAAGAACTTCCTCCGCGGCCTCCCTTACCACATCTCCGCGCTGTACGTGGTCGACCTGAAGCGATTCCGGGCCATCGCTGCCGGGGACAGGCTGCGTGGGCAGTACCATACCCTCTCGGCCGACCCACAGAGTCTGAGCAATCTGGACCAGGATCTACCGAATAACATGCAAAGGATGTTGCCCATCAAGAGTCTGCCGCAGGACTGGCTGTGGTGCGAGACGTGGTGTTCGGATGAGTCGTTGGCGACGGCGAAGACGATTGATTTGTGTAATAATCCGTTGACGAAGGAGCCGAAGTTGGACAGGGCAAGGAGGCAGGTGCATGAGTGGACGGTTTATGATGAGGAGATTGCGGCTGTGCAGAGGAGAGTGTTGGAGAAGGAGGAGAAAGAGAGGATGGGAGCAGTGATTGAGGGGGGTGATGAGGAGGTGCCTCAGAATGAAGGTGGAGATCACGGAGATGGAAAAAACGAGAAGCGTAAGAAGGATGAGCTGTAAGATGTATTTACCTGTTAGATAGAGAACTTTTATTTGAATTTCCAAAATGTTGTGTTATGTATGTACAGGACCATTCTCTATCTACCTAATATCGTACCGTATAAATGGTGAAATTCGAAATTCACAAGAGCGAAAAGGGCTATTGGTTCGGCTGATGTTCCACCATGTTCATCTGATGCGTGGTATTTTGTTTTATTTTTGATTTTGCTTGGTCTTACCATCAACTAAATACGTTTGGTTCGACGTGACTCCGTCTCCTCCACCCACCGGTCAAACCCCTCATCGCCCCTTCCGTCTCCCAAATTTGTAAGTGATCATCAATTTTTACAGTATGTAAGATACATGTATACATTACAGTACACGCACATGCTCAAGACACGTACACCGGAATCGTGGAGCAATAACCATGACTGCACTAAACGGTAGAGACAGATCGAGTCGATAACAACCTCTTGCTGAGGGGCCAGGCCAGGTGGTGCTCTCCCTCTCTCACAATGACGTGGTTTGTCGAGGGGAACTTGTCTCCCTGGTCACGAATTCTGCCCCCCCCCCCCTAAAAACACCCTGACGAAGCCCAGAAAAAAAAATATGCCAGTAACGAAACACGTATCGGGGTAGAGACAATAGATACCACATGTCCGGGAGGGAGTAACTACACTAGCTTGTGGTTTGCGAGAAGGGGAGCGGTTGCCGCGGCGAGCACCTCGACATTTGTGCCACGTCGGAGATACCGAGTCCGATAAATATCCGCTGCTGTAAGGGGAAGGGCGGGAAGGGAACAAGTCGCTCGCGAGACGGCAGCTGACCAACCTCAAATGCCCAGTGGGAGTTCATTTTGCGAGCGTGAGACTGCTCCAACAAGGTAGGTGAGACAAAGTCTGGTCACTCCCGCGGGAATTTCCCTATATTCCACTTGCGACGGGCCGGGCGAAGAGGTGAGCCAAGAATGGCTCACATTTGCCCGATGAGCCAACGCGCCCTAGCCGGCCGAGCCTTGGCCAAGCTTGGCAGGGAGGACGAATGAACCAAGCAGAAGGGGATAAAAAAAAAGGGGGAAAACAATATTGCGGATACCCGAACCCACAGATACAGGAAGGAAAGTCGAAAACGAATGGAAGGTGAAAGGTTAAGAAACAAAACACTGCTCGCAAATCTTCTCACTTCGGGCCTGTGTTATGCCTCTCTTCTCTCCTTTTCTTCTGCATGGCCCTCCATTTGGCGGCACACTGTTCCTTAGTCCTGGTATGCCCCATGAGCTCGCTCACCTGGCTCCAGAGGATAATGTACGGGTCAATATGATATATGTCCTCTGGCGCAGAACAACCAGCGGCGTTCTCATCCTCGGGGGCCTGGGCAGTTCTCCATTGCCGCACAGCATTTTCGAGACGCACGCACTCTGCATCAGTCCATGACCCATGGTTTTGGGTGTCGCGATGCTGTACATGTTTCCGAAAGCGCGTGTTGACGTCGTCTCGGGAGCGGCCCAAGATACGTGCGATCTTGGCGAAGTCGGACCCGTATTTTGCATGCAACGCGGCTAGCTCGTCATCCTGTTCCCTGGTCCATTGGCGTGGCTTTTGAGAAGTAGCCACGTAGTGCGAGCGCATATAGCGATGCACGTCTTTGCGTCTGCGACAAGGCATGAGGGCGTACAAAAGCTCCCAGAATTTGGGTCTTGTCATGATGGATTCCGGGCACGGGAAGTCGGCACGGTCAGTCTCACGGTGTTGGACCATGCGACCAAAGTCCTCACTGGACATGTCGTTGGCTTGGCAGAACTGGGACTTGAAATCCTCAATGGCAGAGATCTCTGCTGCCGAATGTCTGCCCGTCTGGTTAGGTTTGTCCTTTGGCTTCCGTGGTTTTTTTGCCCTTGTTGACGGCTGGAGGTTGGTTGTGGGAGTAGCGGCATGTTGGTTCAGTTGTAATCGGTGCTGTGGCTCAGGCACATTGAGGCTTCCAGCCGCTGCCGGAGGTTCTACCAGAAATTGTTCAACATGGTGGAGAGTACTCTCCTCGGGGCATCCTGGAACCAAGGCACACGCGTCAATGGGTGTGACCCAATGAATGTATATATATGCAACATATAAAGGATGGAACATATATATATATATATATATATATATAAATATCGGGAAGCCAGAAATACAAGAAGAAACACAACGCGCCACAACGTTTCGATGGAGAAAGCATCGAACGAGGGAGAGAGGGGAAAAGACAAGAGAAGAGGGGGCTGTTGATGCCCGCCTCTCTGGCTATCCAGAAGAGAGGGAAGAGCGGTTTATATAACCCAGAGCAGAAGAAACACGAAGAGAGAAAATGCCGAGTCCGGCAACAAAGGTGTACGTACTGCTTTGTGAACAAGTAGTACCGTGGTGGACATTCCGCCAGGCCAAAAAGCAGTCAACATAGAAAAAAAAACAACACAAACGGACGCATCCGCCGTCGTACAAAGAAAGAGCAAGTAATGATTTGAACCGCAATGCTGGCAGTGCAAATTACATTACTTACTTTGTTTGTAAAAGCAACTATCGGGCTGAATGCCACTGACCGCAGCACCATGAGGATGATCACCAGAGTCATTGTTGTCATTACCATTGTCTTCAGGGAAGAAAAGCGGCTCATAACCCTGCTGGGGATTACCAGGGCTGGCCTGGAGCTGGGGGTCGACGTTGGGCAAGGGATTCTCCCCAATTGGGGTGTCATCGTCCAAACCAGCGCCAAGAGCCGGGGCAGCCCAGGCCGGGAGGAATTTGCCTAGAGGGAAAGACGAGTGTCAGAGAACTGGGGCAATATGCGGGACAACAAAGGCTGGAAGCTCCCAGTTGACGAGGTGAGGTTGGTGATAGCTCGTTGGAGATGGTGAAGGACGGAGGACATACCTGCGGAATCCACGTGATAGCCAAGTCTCGCTAAGGATTCCTCTTCGGGGTCAGAGTGCGCCGCGTCCAAGGCACGCTTCATAGTTGCAATCGGTAAACAACAGAGAAAACAAACAGCAGATGGATAAGGGGGTATAGGGAGTGGAGGCAGGAGATACGGCAAAGCGCAAGGTATCAGAACTGGATATTTGTAGTAAAGAAAACAGCAGGATCAATTGATAGACCACAGGAATCACTAAATTGAGAGCAGAAGAGAGGGTTGAGACACGTGATTTGCACTTTGGTTGGCTCTGTGAGCGTGATGGCGGTGAGTGACGGCAGAACAATGGCAAGTGAGGCTGGGATCGGATAATTGTATTTCCGCGTATTCCGCGTAGATTACGGCTAGCTAAGCGAGAACACGCAATTACCGGGCCCGGGTGGTGGGCACTGGTAATATACGTATCGCTGTTACCCCATATCGAAGCGGCTCTGCACAACACTTGGAAAGAGTCTTCAAACACATTTCGATCAGCGATGTGGAAAGCAGACAGGCTGTTGAGGGATCCAAGTCTCCCATCTCCCACGTTATTGCCACAGGGGGATGCGGGAAAGACTCCTACAGGCCAATATAAATGGTTTCCGTCGGTGATGAACCTGGCAGCCTTTAGCAATGGCGTCGGTTTCCCTAACATTAGTCGACAAGAGCCAGGTGAGACTGATTCGCTTCAAGAGCCGATTTTCTCTCTTGGGGCCGCAAGAGCACCGGTTTCCACCTCAAAGATGCTCTATTCGATCACAAATCCCGGGTAGCACAACTTCACAGGATCATTCGAGTTTTTAGCCTTCTGGGACAAGTCTCATCAACCAACCACAGCCCACGTGACACGACCCGGGCGTGTTTAATAGGCCTTCTCGTCGTGGATTTAGCACTTCAGTACGGAGTACCAAAACAGACCGACCTTTGCTTGCTGGGACGAGTGTTGTCTGTCTGTGATTGGAGAAGCCGGAACAACTGCCACTCACTCTCTACGTATAGCCGCACATCCCTCCGACGCATCCAGGCCCAGCCACAGCCGCAACTCGGCGTCCACCAGCGTCCAGCGTCCAAACAGCGTCCAAACAGCGTCAACCAGCCGGAGCCGGGCAAATGCTTCGTTGCTCGCCCCTATAACCTTAATTAACCCTATTACTCGATCGAAACTGTACCTAGATATGCGCGCGTGACCGCTCTCCACGAGCTAGCCTAGGAGGCCAAACGAACTAAGAAGTGCAAATTTGAAGGGAAGAGAGCAGTGCAGAGGCCTATTTTTTCATTCCAGAATTTTTCTCGGCTGAACCTTCAGACATGGGGCTGCTGGCGCCCTCCTTCCAGGCCAGGCTCTCGGGCCAGTGGGTTTCTTGCCCCCTCTGGTTTTCGGTTCCCCTATCCACACAAGGTTTTCAATCCCCAATCGCCACTTGCTGGTTCCCCTATTTCTCTGCGCTTGTTGCGTGCTGCTATTGCTGCTATTGTTGCTATTCCCTTCATCAACATTCGGCTGCGAAATACCAGACAAGTACGAAGAAAAAGCCTTCTTTTCTTCGCTTTCTCGCTTTCTTGCTTTCTCATCTCTCTCTCTCTCTCTCCGTCTGTTTGTCTCTCTTTCCTGCTGCTTTTGCTGTGGTGCGCTTGTTACGAGGCTGGATCGACTCTCTTTTCTTTCGCTCTCTTCTGCTTCTCTTGCCAGCTCTCCGACATCCTGTCTTTCCTTTGTCCGGTTCTCCTGTTTCTCAACCCCAAATTTTGTACTGAATAAACCAAGAGAAACAAAAGTGAAAAAAAAAAAAAAAAAAAAAAAAAAAAAAAAAAAAAAACACATTCATTTTAGACAAGAACCCCGTAACCTCCCATCATCAAAGTCAAAAGTAGCTAGAACGAATCGGTCCTCTGGCCCCAAAGAGCAGCCTTCTCCGCCGCGGAACCACAGCCATGGAGCATCCCACAGACACTCCCACAAGCACCACTCCAGCTCCAGCTCCAGCTCCCACCCCCACCTCCGCCCTCGCAACTGGAGCCGGCCCCGCCTCCTCCCTCATCGTCCTTGCTTCCACCCGTGCCATAATCTCCGGCCGCCTCACTGCCGCCACGATCGTCATCTCCCTCACCACAGGCAAGGTAACCTCAGTCTTCCACTCCGTCCTCCCACCCACAGCTTTTCCCCCGGGGACCCCGTACACAGACTACTCCCCATATATCCTCATGCCGGGCCTGGTGGATGCGCACGTGCATCTGAACGAACCTGGCCGGACCGAATGGGAAGGCTTCGAGACGGGGACGCGTGCGGCGGCGTTCGGCGGCGTGACTACCATCATTGACATGCCATTGAATGCCATCCCGCCCACGACGACGGTCGAGGCGTTGCGCGAGAAGATTGCCGCGGCGGCCGGGAAGTGTTGGGTTGATGTAGGCTTTTATGGCGGGGTTGTTCCTGGGAACGTCAGTGAGTTGAGAGGGTTGGTGGAGGCTGGGGTGAAGGGCTTTAAGGGGTTTCTGATTGATAGTGGGGTATGTATGATTTTTCTTTTTCTTTTTCTTTTTTGGCTTACCTGATCCAGCCTCTCTCATATATATATATATATAAATATATATATTCCTAATCACCCTTTTTAGGTCGATGAGTTCCCCGCCGTATCAGCAGCAGATATCAAAGCGGCCATGCTTGAGCTAGCCGATCTGCCCACGACGCTCATGTTCCATGCCGAAATGCTCCCGGAAACCAACGGCGACACATCTCTCCCCCAGGGCGCCCCAACCTCCTATTCCACCTTCCTAAATTCCCGCCCCTCCACCTTCGAAACAACTGCAATCTCCGCCATCCTCTCCCTGGCCCCTCTGGCCCCCAACCTCCCCTTACACATCGTCCACCTCTCTGCCATGGAAGCCATCCCCTTATTGAAAGCCGCGCGCAGGCGGGGAGTAAACATCACTGCCGAAACATGCTTCCACTACCTCTCCCTGACGGCCGAGGAAGTCGGCGACGGCGACACGCGCCATAAGTGCTGCCCGCCAATCCGCAGCCAGGCGAACCAGGACGCGCTGTGGGAGGAGCTGGCGCAGCATGCTAGTGTCCAGGGCGTGATTAAAACCGTTGTCTCTGACCATTCGCCCTGCACGCCGGCGCTGAAGATCCTGCCAGCGCATATCCCTGGGCATTTTGGCCGTGCCAATCTTAATAATCAACATGATGATAGTGATGATAGTGATGATAATGATAATGAAAATGAAATTGACAGTAACAGCAGTAACAACAACAGCAACAACAACAACAACAACAACAACAACAACAACAATAATAATACAAAAGGCACCAACACCAAGCCAGACGACGAAGAAGAAGGGGAAGGAGAAATAGCAAAAGACGAAGAAGGAAACTTCCTCAAAGCCTGGGGTGGAATCTCCTCCGTCGGCCTCGGCCTGCCTATTCTCTGGACCGAGCTCGAACGCCGGCGCTCCGCAGCTAACAGCACCGCGACAGACACGCCGACGTCGACGTCATCCACAACCTCCGCTCTCGAAGACATTGTGCAATGGTGCTGCGCCAACACGGCCAGACAGGTCGGGTTGGCGTCGCAGAAGGGCGACCTCTCCGTCGGGTATGACGGGGACGTGTGTGTCTTTGACGAGAATGGGGAGTGGGTGGTGGAGCCTGATACCATGCTGTTTCGCAATAAGTGCTCGCCCTATCAGGGGAAGAGGATGAGGGGTATCGTGCGCGAGACGTGGTTAAGGGGCCAGAAGGTGTATACGCGGGATGATGGGTTTGTGGCGACGAGGCCTGTGGGGAACCTGTTGTTGGAACCTAGGGCGGCGTAGCGGGAAAGATTTTATTATTTCTTCCGAGATATGGATGGCTTGATGATATATCTGTTATGTGCCCCGTTTGTTCTTGCATTCCCTCTTTCTATTATTTAGCATTGCATGTATTTATAGCGGTATACATCTTCGCTGTTTAGAAAAGAATTGTTGTCTTCTGTTTGGACGGTGTTTTTTCGTTCCTTTTGTAGATAGTCGTTCTGATACGGGTTGCACGATATATCTGCTTTGTTTTAGCCAAGTGTGATACCCGGTTAAGGGTAATGGGAGATGTGAAAGAAAATGGAAGATGAGAATGAATGAAGAGGATAAATAAAAGTATATATTACAAACACTCAAGAAATAGATCTATCAGTGGAAGAAGGGAAAAAACTGCACATATATATCAGTAACCAAGTACTCCATCAGCAGCGCAAAAAGAAAAAAAAAAAAAAAAAATTGGAGCAAGCAAAAACGTAGCAGACAGCAAACTCACCTATTTTACATCTTTACTATCATCACCCTCACCATCAGCATCACCATCCCTCCCTTTCCACCGCTCTTTAACCCTCCTGCGGGCTCCGCCATTAACTCCCCGTCCCCATATTTCCTCCTTCGCCCCCTTCGTATCGTCAATGCTAACCGCGGACCCATCATCACCACCATGCCTCCCGTTACCTCCGCCAATCTTAACCTCCCCAATCACGACCTTCCTCTCAACAATCGCCCTTTCCCTTTCCCTCGCCAACTCCACTTTCCTCAAATACAGCGCAAAAATACCCACCTCCGCCACGCCCACCAGCAGTGCGACGAGCATCGAAATAAACACCCGTGCAGGCTGTGAAGAGACGGTGCCGGGATGTGACGGCGCCGCTGATGATGTGAATGTGAAGAAGGTCGGGATGCGGAAGTTGGAGAGGGCCCAGTACGTTGCGAAACCCGTGAAGAGGATCGAGACAAGGATGTTGAGAACCACGGATGGGGTTAATGGGTCGTCGGCGTCGAGATCGTTGATGGTGTTTATGTTTATGTTGTTGTTGTTGTCGTTGTTGTGGTGGTGGTGGTGTTTGGGATGTGTATATATGTTTGTTGCTGGAGGGTCGTTGAGTCCCCAAATCCGAGATGGAGAGCTTGAGGAGGCCGCGTTTAGGAGAGCATTGTACCTTCTTGCTTCCTCGGCGGCGAGGAGAGAAGCTTTTAGGGCGAGGTATTCGGGCGTCTGTTTCCTGGTTAGCATGATTATGGATGGTATCGATATGTGATAAGTACACTGGTATGATCAGTGTGTTCCTGCGGGCGAGAACATACAGGGTCCGGTTTTGGTGGAGGGGGGGGAACATAGACCCTGGTGCCCTTGAGAAGCGAGTTGAGCGAGAAGCGCTCACATCGATTGACAGCTCCATTAGATGGATCTGTGGGTTTCTCTGCGGATCGAGGGTTGGATACAAGGTATCTGGAGAGGGCAGTGAGCTGTGTGTGGGATATCGCGGCGTTCGCAGGAGCAGTTGGTAGGGAGAGCTCGTCACGGATTGAGGCGGGCAAGCTGTCGAGGGCGGCTGCTATGGCCGGGGTCATGAGGAGGAGAACCATTTTGGATAGAGAGAGCTGCCAGAAGACATCCTCCCTTGCTGTGAATATATATAGATATATACACCCGGATGAGGTGCGGTGTTGGGATGAGGCTGGCTGAGAGTGTGTTTGTTGGTGTTTGTTGATCGGTGCAAGACGTCATTCCTGTCGGTGCTTCAACATTGACCATCTATGCATTTGATAGACATTTCGACTCCACGCCCACCAACTCCGTATGCCAACTCTCGAGCACTTACTTTTCCGTCTTCCTGCAATCCCTCTTAGTTCGACGGGGGAGGGGCTTCTCCCTTTAAACAAGTCGCAGCGGCATCATGTCCGACAACCAGGCGAAGTACAGAACCTGATTGTGCTCCCACGAGTAAATATTTCTTTCCCCTTACTAACCAGTGCCATTCTGCAAATGTAGAAACCCCGCCGTCGACCCGTCGACAACCAATCCGCGAGGCATCCCCGTCGCACCATTTGTCGATAATGTCGCAGATTATGTCTCGTCACGCGCAGACGTCGAGCCCACACTGCGCTCGTTCCAGGAGATGATATCCAAATACCAGTTCATGGAGCTGAACACACAACGCCGCGGCCAGGGCCTGAAGGACAAGATTCCTGATATCAAGAAGACACTGGAGACGGTGACGCTGTTGCGGAACAGGAGAGAGGTATGCCATTCTTATGTGTTTCTTTCTCAACGTTTTTTTTTTTTTTTTTTCCATCGCGGGATTCATTCCTCTCAATTCACTCGCTCGCTCCCCACAGGCTGGCGCCGATGCGCCTCTCGAGACCACCTTCGAACTCAACGACACTCTATACTCTCGCGCCACAATCCAGCCCAAGGACACAGACGAAGTCTTCCTCTGGCTCGGTGCCAACGTCATGCTTGCATACCCCATCAACGAAGCCGCGGAACTGCTGACAGAAAAGCTCCGCGCCGCTGAAGTCAGTCTCGCCAACTGCGAAGAAGACTTGGAGTTTTTGCGGGAGCAGATTACGGTATGCTTGTTTACTGCGCTTCTTTTATCTAGCTAAATTATCGATTATCTTTCATTTCCTTCTCCTTTGCAATTCTTTCCTCTTGTGTCCCTGGTCCGTCCTGGAAGAAAAAAAAAAAAAAAAAAAAAAAAAAAAACCCAACAGCAACACGAGCCAGAGCCATCGATTCAGCTTTACCCCTACATATACAATGTTAGTAACTAACGTGTATGCTTTATATTTGCTTTTGCCTTCACCCAGACTCTCGAAGTCGCAACCGCCAGAGTGTATAATTGGGACGTTGTACAGAAACGGAAGGAGAAGGAAGGGAAGGGGGATGATGGTGAAGGAAAGACGGGACCGGGTGGTTAGGGAAATAATACGGAGTAGATAAGATGAGAACTCATTTTTATCTTTCCTTTATTCCTTTTTTTTTTTTTTTTTTTTTTTCTGAAAACGAAATTTACTTAGGTCGAGTTAGAAAAAAAAAAGGATGAAACGGATGGGAGACTCGTATCATCTTCCATTGGAGCAAGTGAGGATTTGCATCAGGGTGAGGTTCGAATATATATATATATGTGTGTGTGTGTATGTGTATATACAATAAACCTTCCCAGCATGATCCCTAAAGACCATACATTGAAGGTTGGGTCTTATTGATGGAATCCATGCTGCAGAGGGATGTGTATGGTATGCGCGAAGGTTCTAAACATGACATTCGAGCGCTTTGCCCAAGGAATAAGATTAGAAAAGAAGAGAGATGTAAATAGTGGTGAGATTAAGTATAATTCAAAACGCTCCTCCATCCATCAATTCATAGAAAAGAGAGTCCATGTACGCCCTTCTCCTAATTCATTATCCTATACCCATTCTATATCATTGGTTTCCGCGTAAAGGGGGGGTAGAAAAATTAATGGGAGAAAGGAAAATGCGCCCCAATGGATCATTTCGCATCTCGTTATGCTGAAAACTAACAAAAAGTGCAGGCAAAACACACATAAAATGTCGAGCATACATATCATGGTATCCGTCGTAACAAGAAAAACTGAAAAGAAAAACTGAAAATGAAAATGAAACGCCCATGAGTCTTCATCTGCTTCCCCATTCAGAAGGAAGAAAAATCCATCAGAAGCTTCAAAACACTCCAAGGTGAAGAGGCTAATAGCAGTGAATAGGGACGAGGGCAAAAACTTGAGGAAAATAGGAAAGAAGACAAGAAAACCCTAAACGGCCAACTCATCCGAATTGTGTGAGGGAAAATATCCTTCTCTATCCTTTTCCACTGTCGCTGCCACAGCCGCCGCTGCCATTGATTACACCAGCTGTAGCCACGTTATCAAGGCCGATATCGTAGTCCCTTTCACGTGCTCTAGTCTTCTTTGTAACGTCAGTCTCTGTCTCATCGCCCACGAAGGTCCATGAGTCTTCCATGGCCGCATCAGCATCAGCATCATCCTCACCATCACCATCGTCATCCGGACCGGTCTCGGATGATATCATAGCAGCTGATTCTTCGTTTGAGACTGCGTAAATCGCTGTCTGGGGGGCTGATGTTGTCGGAGACCGTTGTCGAACAAGAGTCTTGGCATACTCAAGGTCGCGGTATATAGCTTGAATAGCGGTAGCTACGCCGTCCTCCTATTTATATTTATCAGTATGCGGGAGGGTTCTTCTGCTTCTTCTTCTTCTTCTTCTTCTTCCCTCCTCGTCTTCATTTTAAGAAAAGAGAACAGTTTTGCTCCACATACCTTCCGAATTTGTTCCCCAAGCGTTTTGGCCTTAACAATTATCCGCTCGCTATGTGTAGCTTCCCAGAGTGCCCTAGAGAACACGCTCACATTAAGCCTCTTCATACAGATCCCAACACCAAGATCCTCCACACGCGACCCAAAAAAGAATTGATCCCCAAAGAACGGTTTGATGATCGTCGGGATCCCAGCTCGCAGACTCGCCCCGGTCGTACCCGCTCCACCGTGATGTGCTGCTGCATCAATTTGTGAGAACAACCAATCGTGGGGCGCGGACTTAATCTGGTGGATCTCCGGAGGTAAAGGGATCTCAGCTTTCGCGCTGGAAGGGTCACCAAGCCTATCTGACCAGCCTTTGGATAGAATGCATCGCACATCAGCCCTCAGCACTGAGTCTACAACAGTCTTAGTGAGAGCCGCTGGGTCTGAAACGACAATGGAGCCAAAACCGATGTACACGATTTTCTTTTCATCAGCTCGGGCTTGTTTTATAAAATTCTCGAGTTCAACAGGAGGTTGCCAATTAGCGCCTTCATCCAGAAACCAGTAGCCCGTCACGCGAATCCAGTCGCAGAAATCAAGGGGCGGCGGGACGACTGACGGTGAAAAGTTATATAAGAAAGGGACCTTGTTTGGTTGCATCTTGTCGAGGTTGGTGCTGCGAAGGCCTAGTTCTCGTTTCCGCCAACGGTTCACTTGACCTGCAATGGCTTTCCAAAACACGTTGTCAAACATAACATAGGTAATATAGTTGTATGCACCGCCCATCTTATGTTCAGGAACAGCAAATGCATGAGGGTATGCTCTAGTCCTGGTCCACGGCATAGTGAATGCGCGGAAGTATGGTATTCCCAGGGCTTCGGCGATGTGTATGCCAGCCATAGCGCTCGGGGATTCGATCAATATGTCGCTATTTTGACAGCTTGTCCATGCGGAAGAGAGAAGGTCATCGATCCAGCCTCGAAACTTCGACGAAGCTTCTTTTAGGTTACAGATAGGTGAACATCCCGTTTCCACACAAATCCGCATAAGTT